ATTTGTCCGGTACTAAACTCAAATGGTTCTATCATTTGGAAGGAACCAACATTCATACATGGGAAGACTTGGTTGTTGATTTCTATAAGCAGTATCAATATAATGTTGACCTTGCGCTGACTCGTGTGCAACAGCAAAACATGTCCATGGGCACGATTGAAGGGTTCAAGGAGTATGCACAAAAATGAAGGGATTTAGCTGGAAGAGTTCAACCTCCTCTGTCTGATAGGGATATGGTTGATATGTTCATGGGAACTCTAACATGTCCATTCTTTAACCATCTGATTGGAAGTTCCTCATCTGGTTTTACTGAGCTGATTCTAACTGGGGAACATGTCGAAGGTGGTAAAAAGAGTGGAAAGATTCTAGTGGTTGCATCTTCAAGTGTTGTAAAGAAGACATTCAATGATAAGAAGGAAACCAATTCCATTTATGGCTATAAGGTCGTGTTAGAAGTAACCGCAACCAATCAGTGGGAGCTGTACTAATCTCCAATCACGCACTAACGCAACATCAACAGCAAGGAAATCAGCATAGGCCAGATGCACCTAGGAGACAATTTACTAAGATCAACATGCCATTATCCCAGGCACTGCAACACCTATTGAAGGAATAACTGATAACATAGAAGGGTCCTCCTCAGAATCCCAACACCTTCTCTCCTCGGTACAATCCTAATGTAAGATACACCTATTATTCCAATAGTCTCAGACATGACACAAATAGTTGCTGGGCTTTGAAAATTAAAATCCAAGATTTGATTGATGCTAAGGATATTGAGTTCGACCCTCCTGAGACCCCCAATGTGATCACTACTCCCATGCCAAATCATGGCCAAGATTGAGAGCGTCTATTTCATTTGAATTTTAAAATTGTAATTTCTTTTGATTTTTCAAACATTTATTTTATGTCAAACTTTTTTGTTCAATTAATGCATTGCATATGTTTTTCCTGAAGTAATCCATTCGTTTTGACTATATTTAAACTATGCTTCTACTTCCTTTTTGTGATATTCGACTCTCGATTAAAAGCTGTAAGCCATTAGAGGGAGGATGACAGCTGAAATTCTGGTATCGGATATGTGATGTCGAATGAGATGTCATGACACAAATATCTAAGAAACAAAGTAAAGTGCAACAATAATAAATGCAGTAAAAACACAAGGGATTGTTAACCCAGTTCAGTGTATAATAACACCTACGTTGGGGGCTACCAAGTCAGGGACAAGTCCACTAAATAGTATCAATTCATAGACCCTCAGTGAAAAACCAGTTTACGATCTAATCACTTAATCACTACCCGTGCTATACTTATACCTAAGACTCACCTAGGTATGAGGCCTTCCTCAAATCCATTCAATCACTTACAGTAAAGAAACAACAGAAATAATAAGTTTAAAAACTTCATCCATTCAGTGCTTAAAAGCTTATGAATGATACATAATTAACAATCCAAATAACAACACAAGTATTAAATCAATACTAGAGTGTTTGAAAATTAAAAGACTTAGACTTCTAAAATAGAAAGAAAGCATTCTTCTTCAAAAGTTGCAGTAGTCTGAATAAGGAAGCAGGTCCATATATATGCACAACAGTGGGCTTGGGCTGAAAAACAAATATTCAAATATTTTGAATATTTCCATGAAAACAATCCAAGATATAATCCATAAATATAATTCAAATAGAAAATATTCCTCCATATTGTTTGTAGCCTATGAGTCACAAATCCTGAATTATGGTGCGCAGGAAATCAGGAAACAGAAAAATGTATATTGATATTGGTTTGAGTTCAGTTCAGGAGGTAGATGCCAAGACATCTGGTTTGACATCATTCAAAACAATTTTGCTTCAAATGTTAAGAAATTTTTCAAAACATTATCAATTCATTGTTTTACCAAAATTACTGCCAACAAACACTTGCAACAAAAATGATACCATAATCTCTACAGTATGCTTTTGAACAGACATTGCTGATGATGTACATGTGTTGTTTCAAATCCTAAAATAGTGGAGTTATAAGGAAGATAATCCCTAGTCAACCTCTTTGAGCCTAAGAAGTAGGATTTTTCTTTTTCACGCAAATTAACACCTTTAATCATAACCTGGGGCAGGGTAGTTTCTCAGTTAATTCAAATGCACATTCAGTCGCAAGATTTCACTTTGTACACAATGAATATTATCAAAGACGTCCTTCCAAATCAAAAGATAGTGATGGTTCCTCATAAAATAGGCAGTCATTATCTCTCAAAAGAAAAGTCTGCTAAGTCAATACCTATGGAGGAGAATTAAGAAAACTCTGGGGCATCTCGCTGACTGTAATCACAGAATAAACAGTTCAGGCAAAAGGTAGGGACAATAAAATCAAAAAGAGGATACTAAAAATCCTCAAAAAAAGAAAAAATGTTACAAAAAAATGACTGCCTACTCAAATAAACTTCCAGTATCCGAACCATCACCAAAATGTTAATCCAGACTCAATTGGAATCTAAATGCACAGTTAACTGAGTATAGGGATGAAGAATATCACGGTGAACTGGTTGGATACAAATAAAGTTTGAGCCTTTATCCTTTGTTTCTTAAATCATGAACCAGGTCACGTTACAATCCTTAAAAGTCCTAACTGAAGCATAGGTTAGTTCGAAAGCATACTGTTACAAAAGGTATCCTAACTCCTGTAAGATTTACTATAAATCCTGAGATGAATTCATATTCTTACAAAATTCTATTTGTTTATTAAAAATTCATTTTCAAAACATCAAGATAGACATAAGCTTTTCATTTTTAAATGTCATTGTTTGCATATGACTAATTGTTCGACAACAGAGAAATTTGCACGACGGATATTCAATGAACGAAAATCCTCTCAATGAACAGAATCACCTCAGATGGAAAGACATTTCCAGTAACAGGCATTTCATAATCAAGGGTCATGACATGACGTCTAACTGATCTGGGGGCAGTCGAGTCAAGATTCAAGGAATCTCTCAAAAGTGTCGAATAGCCAGGGCAAGACCTCCACCTGAATCACTTGGGGTTTTGAATATGAGTTCCAGTAAATGGCCACGTGCGATCAAGACAACATTCTCTTGCATGCTACAATACTTACATTGGAAATTCTCTGCACCCTGTGAACACGGACATAGTCAAAAAAATACTACGCATGAAAGAGACCCGCTAGGTTGACAAGCCTAAGCAAAACTAAGGGCATCCCAGTGAACCAAAAAGGTTTAGGAAAAAATTAGGGATATATATATAAAAAATTATACACCCGACTGAAACAACCGGCCGAAAATCATCAAAACAATGAAGTCGCCATCGAACGTCTTTTATCCCACATGTAGGGAAAGGTAAACATCGAGAAAACCTGATGAGGGAGAAGTCACGGTCTTGCGACCGAGAGATCGGGTAAGGGAGTCTGTTACGCGAGGGGAAGGTATTAGCACCCCACACGCCCGTAGTACTCTACGGTATCCACTCTTGTTGTCTATCTTATGGGTGTGTTTAATCTATGCTTATTGTCTATTATACTACTGGAGGGAATGCATGAAAAATAAAGGGGGAAAATGTAGGGAAAATAAAATTGTGCTCGCCTGGGCCCTACCCCAATGCCTACGTATCCTTTTTAAGGAATCAGAGCTACCGTAGTTCGGCTCACATTTTTTTGTTTGTTTTGTGTTTTTTATGGACGAAGTTAATTCCGCCTTCTGCCGCAGCTCGACCTTTGGAGGCTTATGCGTTGGCACAGAAGTAAATTAATCATGTCCTTACCTGAAAGGGTTTAAAAGAAATGGTGCTCGAGCGCACAAAAGATTTGAATTTGTCTTGTATTTTGTTATAGATGTTTTTTGTGGACGAAGTTAATTCCGCCTTCTGCCGCAGCTCGACTTTTGGAGACTTATGCGTTGGCACAGAAGTAAATTAATCATGTCCTTACCTGAAAAGGGTTTTTTAATGAAATGGTGCTCGAGCGCACAAAAGATTTGATTTTGTTCTGTATTTTTGTTGTAGATGATGACTGATTGACCTCAAGAGAGAGATATTAGCCATTCTTCTACTTAGTCATGAAAAGAGTCTTTGAGAATTGAACCACACCTATGCTTGAGATGAAGAACGATAAGATCGAGAAGAGACCCGCTTATCATTTCCCGTACTAAGCAAAAGCATGATTCGAATCAATAGTTTTAAAGTGTTTTGAATTTTGAAAGAAAAGAAGTTTTAGTTTTAGGTGCGTATGTTCAAAGAGAAAGGAAAGTCAAATGGGACTAACTTACTTCTAAACCTGATGTTATTATGCGTTAGACCTAAAGTTAGGATTTTGAAGGAATTCTACTTAAGGTTAGCATGCATGTGGATTGCGATAAAGTACGAAAATAAAATGGATTTGCGACAATACCGAACGGAGAAGGTCCGTTGCTTCTTCAAAATTGTGCAAGCGGTAAGAAAATTCTATCAAAGTTTCCTCGAACGAGTGATTGAAGAGTTCACCCCGAGCATTCCACATTGCAAGAGTTATGTCGATGCTATCACAAAAATCTTGACTAAAAAAGTCAATAAAATGATTATCGAATATGAAAAATAAAATAGAAAAATTATAATCGAAATTCTAAAAAGAAATTCTATTCTAAAAATATTCTACTATTTTTATTGTTTTATTATTGATTAAAAAAATTAAACTAAAAGAAAAAACTAAAATAATAAAAGAAAAGAAAAAAAATTAGAAGAGTTAGGGGGTATGAAGTCTAGAAATGTGGGTGTTGAAGTAATTTGCCCAAAAGATTTTCAACATTTTTATTTATTATTTTCTTAATTAGAATTATTATTTCTTTGAAATAAAAGAATAATAAATAATGCAACAATTAAAAAAGAAAAGATATGTAAAAATGAAAAGGGAGTAGGGTTTGAGAGAAAAGAAAGTCTCGTCCTTCTTTCGCGAACGGAACAGTGGCTGTGCCTCCGCCTTCCTTGCGTCTTCTTCTTCATCCATCGCGGCTTCTCTTCTCCATGAAACCACCGTCTCACACTCCCCATCTCTCTTGTCAAATCAGCAGCGGCTTCAATTCAACCTTCTATTCTCTGTCCTCTTCATGCTCCCCTCACAACATCTCCAACCTCTCTTTTGTTTCAAGCCGTCTCGCCTTCATCTCATCTACGATTCAACCTTCCGCCACTCATCTTCAGATCAATCAGTCGGAGTTCGTCCGACGCGTCTTCGACGGTGGCGGCGGCAAAGACGAGAAATCGAGAGAAATAGACTCAGGTATGTTTACTCTTAGTGCTATCGCCTTCCTTCTTGTTAGTTCTTCTTTATGATTTGCATCTGCCTGTTGATGATTGAAGAATTGAAGATGTTGCAGTATGAATTTCTGTTGATGAGAAACGGCGTTGAATTTGTTGTAGATTTATCGTAGAAGAATTATAGGAGTTGTGGGAGATGGCTATGGCGATTGAAGCTGACGAAGGTGGTGATGATGACCGTGGTGGCGAGTCTAGAGAAGGAAATGGTATTGCCTGAAGCCGAGGCCGCGGTGGTCGCGGTGGTAGAAGTCCTTCTATCTGTTTCGAGATTGAATCAGTACATAGAGCATCAAGATGAGGATATAATTCACATAATAATAATTGTTCTCGTGACTTATGCCATGGTACAGGGTTTGATCTAGGAAGACTCTGCATGCGTTGTAATGTGTAGTCTCTAGGAGGATCATTATTCGTCTCCGGTTGAAGACATAGTGGAAGATCTTGACCAGGGAGTATTCTTGAAACCATGACAGTAGTTGAGGTTCTTGTATTCCCGGTGATGATTCTTGTGGCTGCTGCCGAGAGAGTTGGGATGGTGGAGCAGCGTTTTTTGTGGTGGCCTTGGTGGACGAGAACTTCCCACTGATTTGGGTGGTGGTGGATCCATGAGCAGAATATTGTTGACAAAATGCAATATTTAGTGGTTTCTTGGAGAGAAAGTATGAGGAGAATATTCAGCTTCTTGAGCTTAAGAGACCGATTGTAAAGGTGAGTTTCTTTCTTAATGTAAAATAATCGTATATCTGACTGTGGTTTCCCCCCTTTATGTATATGCTGGAGTTTGTTAGAGTTGGTTAAGTGGTTAGGGGGTAGTTAGTTATTCTGTTTTTTATTGGTGGTTATGGTTAGTTTTGCAAATATGTTGTGGGTTAGTTTTCTGTTAGGGACTCCTTTTGACAGTTGAGTTTTGTTACGCTTGGTTTGGTAATTGGTTAGGCTTTATGAATTGAATTGTTTTATTGGACTGATTTTAGTGTGGATTGGTTTAATGGTTTTATATTCTTCAGGCAGCAGCTGGTTGATACTTTGATACGGGGCTGCAGGTTTTGGCATAGCTGGAGAGTTGATCATGGTCATGATTTAGAAGCTTGAAGAATGGCTTAAAATATGGATCTCATGGAGTTTTGGCAAAGGAGGTTATAGATGAGGATTAAGTCATAGGTTTAATGTAATGTGTTATTTTGTAATTACATTGGTAATGCAAGCTTCTTGTGAAAATTCCTTCTATTTTGGAAAGTAGATGGTTTGGAGTTGTAATGGTATTATTGAATGTAACATAAAATATGAATTATTTTGCTTTGTAAAGAAGTTTGCTTCCACTTCCATGCTGAATATTCTAAAGAAATGGCTTTGAACCCTCTTTTAACACTTGGTGGAAATTTGAATGAAACTTGAATGTTCTTGAATGCAATATTAATTTGGCAATTCCAAATCTTCAATTTCCTATCCAAAATCAAGTTCTCTTCAAATAGAACTAAGAGCTCCCAATGCTTCCCTTTATTTGCAACTTGAAAGAAACATATGATATCGAACCTTTTTTATGGATGACTTACGAGATAAACTCAAAGCTGACATAAAGAAAGACTTTTATTTGAAATCCAAAATCTTGGTCATGGATGAACATGGTGTGCTTTCTTCTTCGAAGTGACTTGAATTCCAAGGAATCCACGCGAATATTTAAGAACTTTGATTTTCTCCAAATCCACTTCAAATATTGATGAATGAATTCTAATCAAACCACAGCTTCAGTGAGCCCCTAATTCAATTCAATTCCTCAGTATAAACCAAACTTGTGTGTCAAGCAATAAGCATTTGAAGCAACGACACCCTGATCACAATCAACATCTTGTACCATGTCCCGACTATATGAGCACTAGAATAACGGCGTCTTGGACCCCTTTCTCAATAGATGATAATGACTATGCCCTGAGGAATTCTTTGCAGATGAATATGAAAGATGAGACATGCGAATACCTTGATATGGAATGAACCTCAGGTAGAATGTTGACAAGCTCAAATATGAAAAATGTATAAACCCTAATTTTTAGTTTCGTCTCATAAAATCTTGCAACTTGACATTGAGAAGAAAAGAATAGCATCGTAGCTTGATGATGATAAGGTCCGTGAAATGAAAACCTAGCTTCAAACAGATTATTAATGGAGAAATCAACCGAAACAAGCTTGTGCGAAGATGGGAGCCTTAAAGCCATACACCAACCCTTATTCCTCGAAATCCATGATCTTATGCCAATTTATGGATTAATGATGCATGATGTGTTAGATGACCTAATGTGAGAAAAATGCAAAAGTGCGTAAGCCAGATAGGAAGTAAAAGGGTAGGACAAATTTGGGGTATTACACCGACAAGTTGAAAACCTGAAAAGGCGACTTGGGAAAAAAAGGGTGTTCCGGTGGGCTGGAAATCTGAAAAGACAGTCCAGGCAAAAGTCAAGAATTAAAGCGTACGACTATGTCCCATCATCTCATCACTTGTCTATTAGTGGAAGGCTTATCACTCTGATTTGCGTTTACCAAGAACTCTAGGAGTCGAGAGGATGTTAAAGTCATCCATAAATCCCCACAGAGCAGTTTCCATGAAATTATCTCTATTGAGCTATCTGCACAAGCTCATCTTCAACAGAGATACATTCCCCGCAAGTGTAATATGCCTTCAAGACAGAAATAGGGGCATCTTCCAGCTGTTAACATGATTATACTCACCAGCAGATCACCGTAGAGGATAAAGGAATATGATCTTTTCCCCAGCAGTATCGTTAACCTACGGAGTCCCAATCTCCATCGGAGATTACGACATCAGTACAGTTTATGGAAATTCTATTCCCTAGCGGAGCTTATTCCTCCAAAACTGTAAAACCCCCTGTAGATTTCTTTCCTCCAGCAACGCTCATTTCCTCAACACGAGTTTTCCTCGGTAATTTAGGTACAGACCATAGAAATCAAATGTCAAGCACATGCAAGTGCCAAAAAGAAATAAAGGGTTTAGATAAATAAACATCAAATAGTCTAACTGTCTTTAGGACCAGTAGACTTAACTGAGCCAGAACTTCCTTCCTCACTAGAGTCTCCTTCTTCAAAGCTCACTCTATCATCAAAGTTGTTGTCCTTTTGCAGCTCTTTGATCATCTTTTCAAAAGTTAGCTTCCTTGTTGAACTAACTCTGATCAAATCATCTAGTTCTTTGCAGGCTTCTTTCAATTCAGTGATCATGTCATCCTTGGTTGAGGTCTTGTTTTTAGCAGGTGCAGATGTCAAATCAATGTCTGAGACATATTTTCCTGAAAAAAGCTTAAAATGAAGGGTCAAAGCAGACTCCCTCTTGCACACTACATCATTACCACTTAGAATCCTAGGATGCTGATTAAGAATAATTCCACAGATAAGGGAAGGAAAGGAAATGGGCATCTTAATGGCACAAGTTCCTGCATGCTTAATAGTCTGATCAAAGATGTAAGTACCATAATCAAACAATTTCTTGTTTCCAACATCATAAATAAACTTTCGTAAGCCAATAGTGATGGTTGAAGTATGATTTGTAGGAATCCAATTTGTAGCTCCAATTCTGTGCAAAATAGCATATTTCACACTTAGCTTGCTAACAGGAAGTTTATTCTTCAAGGGCCACTCACTTACTTGATTGGCAGTGATGGCTCTGCACACTTTATTATCTGTTACTTCTTGCTCACAAAAGTCATCTTCAATCCTATCCAGAAATCTATTTATGATAGCACGGGAAAATTCTACACACCTACCCCTAACATACACCTTTCTATACTCCTTACTTTTATGATCAGCACAATCAACATAAATATTAACAATAAATTCCTTAACAAGAGTCTTATAGCATTTGGCAAACCTGGTAACAATTTTAATCAGTGGCTACATGTTCTAAGGCAACAATCTTTTCTTCAACAAGCTCTCTTATGAAGTAATGAAGGATATCAATATGTTTGATCCTGCTGTGTTGAATGGGATTCTTTGATATGTTTATAACACTTAGATTATCATAGAATAATGTCATGACATCTTGTTTGACACTGTATTCTGTTAACATTTGTTTCATCCAAACCAATGAGAACAATTGCTCTATGCAACAATATACCCAGCCTCTGCAGTGGACAAAGACACACAATTTTGCTTCTTACTGAACCAAGATATGAGATTATTTCCTAGAAATAAGTATCCTTATGATGTAATTTTTCTATCATTAGCATATCCTGCCCAATCAACATCACAATAACCAGTTAAGGTAAAATTAGATCCATGAGAGTATAACATACCATAGTCACTTGTCCCATTTACATATTTAAGAATTATCATCACATGGTTGGCATGGCTAATTTTAGGATCAACTTGATATCTTGCACACACCCCTACAAAAAAGGCAATGTCAGGTCTGCTAGTTGTGAGATATAGAAGACTGCCTATCACACTCCTATAAAGACTTTGATCCACACTTACACCTTTTTCATCTTTAGACAACTTTAGATGTGTGGGATCAGGAGTTCTTTTGTGACTGGTATTTTCCATCCCAAACTTCTTTACTATAATCTTAGCATACTTGCTATGGGATAAAAATATGGAATCTTCCATTTGTTTAACTTGCAGACCAAGAAAATAGGTTAATTCACCAACAAGGCTCGTCTCAAATTCTGACTGCATTTTCTTGACAAAATGTTGAACCATATCATTTGACATCCCACCAAACATAATATCATCAACATAAATCAGCGCAATCGTGATATTCCCTTCTTCTTCCTTGACAAAAAGAGTTTTGTCTATGCTTCCTTTTCTGTATCCATTCTCACCAGTAAATTTTGTCAATCTATCATACCAAGCTCTTGGAGCTTACTTTCATCCATACATAGCTTTCTTCAGTTTATAAATATGTTTAGGGAAACTTGGATCAACAAATCCTTTTGGTTGTTCTACATAGACTTCTTCATCGATATAGCCATTTAAGAAGGCACTCTTTACATCCATTTGAAACAATTTAAATTTCAGTATGCTTGCAACTCCCAAGAGAAGTCTGATTGATTCAAGTCTGGCCACGGGAGCAAAGGTTTCATCAAAGTCAACTCCTTCCATTTGAGTGTACCCTTGTGCAACTAACCTTGTCTTGTTTCTAGTGACCACCCCTTTTTCACCAGATCTATTCTTGTACACCCATTTAGTGCCAATCACATTTGTCCCTTCAGGTCTTGGAAGTAGATCCCAAACTTCATTTCTACTGAATTGTTCTAGCTCTTCCTGCATATCATTAATCCAAAACTCATCAGTTAGTGCCTCTTTGACATTCTTAGGCTCAATTTTTGACACAAAACAAGAGTTTGATATCCCATCTCTTGATCTGGTAGTAACTCCTTTATTCATATCTCTTATTATGAGCTCCTTAGGATGATCTATCTGGGTTATAATTGTAGGTCCTTTATTGAGATGACTAGGCTCAAGATCTTCTTGAGGGGGATTAGAATCAATACTTTTGTCATTTGATTATGTTGGAATACCAGAAAAAGATGTTCCAACATCTTTTGAGACATCTTCTTCAATATTCCATCCTCTATCATT